GGGAGGAGCCCGACACTAAGCCAATGCCACCACAAGGCCTCTTGAAACTGTCCATAAGGATCCCCAATCTCTCCCTCACATCAGGCCAAACATGAAAAATGAACTCTCAAAAACAACCCAGAAAACCAATCTCACTGACATTGAGTCGACTCCACCTCCTGGTGACTTCCCGGAACAGAATGGAAATGACCCTCTATGTTTCAAGGCTGCAGAGTGGCTGGTGCCCTTAAAATGCTCACCTTACGATCAGCAGCCCAACACTCTAGGACTGAATTGTTTTAAAGATTAAAGAAATGATGTAGTGAGAAAGACTTAGAAGTAACTTGTCTTAATGGCATATCAGTATTTTTCTTTTTCTTTTTTCGTTTTCATTTGGTTCCAGAGAACAATAGAGTATTTTTTTCTCCTTCAACTCGTGTTTTTTGCTGTAAAGGGTTCTATTACTGTATAATAAATTAGAGAAGCCTTGGAGCACGTTGAGGAGCTCACAGATAGACACGTGGCTTGGCCTTCCATCCTTTTTGTTTTCACGCTCTATATATGGAGTTCCTCATTTGGGTGTCAGAGTCTGGAAGTGGAGTGGGGATCACACTTGAACTCCTCCATCCACACGAGTGGGGCATGACAGGTACACCTCTACCTTCTTTACACTCTTCTGACCCCACCCATCTCGCTCATGGCACTCTGCTTCTTTGCTGGGTGCAATAAGCCACACAGCACTCACAGCCCATCCTTGTGATTATGGGGTTTATGAGGGACACTACAGGTTACAGAATGTCAAAGATGGAGTTCTTTTGCCCCCAATGCCTCTTGTCAGCCTTCCTGGCAGGCATGCTTCTCTTTGGTTCTCGGCCTCTCAGCCACATGACCTGCTGGCCTTGTCTGGCTTGGGCAAGTGTTAGAAAGTTCCTTTAAAGCTGATAAATACCCAAAGGGCACCACACTCTGCAAACCAGTCTCCTGCTGAAAGCTACACAGCATTACTCGTTCCTTCCTCGTGGTCTCAGTGCCACTCCTCGGCTCTGTCTCATGGTCTTTGTGCTGCAGCCTCTGGTGCCTGCACCACTTGCAGCACTGGCTGCTCTTCTTTCTTGATGGCACTAGGATTCCTGTTCCTGCTTCTGAAATGGTTTGTTGTTTTACACCCATTTAAATGGCAAAATTGACCAGTCCCCTCTATCAGTATCTACTCCCAAAGAGAGTTACAGTCTTGGAAACCCACAAGGGCAGTTCTCCTCTACGCTCTAGAGTTGCTATGAGTTGGAATTCGCCTGATGGCAGTGGGTTTTGAATTTTGACCCATTTGTATGGTCTCCCCAATCATTTGGTGGGAGTTATAAGGACTATGTGTAGAAGAGCAATGCCACGTAATTTCACTTTACTGAGCCTCAGCGGCACAGATGGTTAAATTCACAACTACTGTACTAACTGATCACCTGCTGGCTATTTAAACTGACCCAGAGGCACCTCAGGCAAAGGGCCTGGTGGTTTGCCTTT